AGCACGCTATGTGGTGGTGTTTGAAAAATTTGTATTTTAATAATAAAGATTAGCATTCATTCATTCATTCAACTCGTGAGATTGTGGGGTTTAAAAAGGCTTGTTAAATTGTTTGAAATCTCAATTTCTAGGTAATAAAGCGAAATACGCACTTTAAATTCGAATGTCTTAAATAGGAGCCACGAATATAAAAAAGGTTTTGAATTTAGATTTTCTATGCTAAATTTGGAAAATGCACAACATCACCAAATTTGCTAGAGAATATTCTAGAAAGCGTAGAAATCTCACAGGCAATCATTATTCGAGTTTATGCAACATCGAATAACATTGACTAGGCATGCGGATAGTAAGTCACTGTATGAAATAAATGTTTTCAACATACAATTTTCTGCTTCCTGTTCTTGCCAATTTCAAGAGCCATTGTATTCTAGGCCATTTTTGCCGGTAAGGTTTGCTGAGATCTCCACAAGTCTTATTGGTAAAGGTTCCGCTATAGCTTCCATGAGAGTGCTAATCAAATCAATAAACATTAGTGCTCATTTCCGTTCCCAAATGCGATTTATAAATTAATTTCAATCGTGGATTTGATATTTTATAACTTAATTTATAGTTAATTTTTAACGGGCATGCCTGCAGCAGGAAGGGTTTTGGACATTATATAATAAAGAAGGACTTTAACTTGGAAATAATAACATACTATGATGGAACTTTAAGAAAGATTAATGGACAGAGTTTCGTATTTTAACCAATTAAAAGTACAGAACTGGAACTTTGAAATCATCAATTAGTGTCTACGATAGAATAGTTTTTGTTTTAATGGCTATGAGTAATCAAATCGATCGACAAATAAGTCAAAAATATAATTGATTTTAGAAATTTAATCAATTCTAAAGTTTGGATTTATTCATGTTACAGTGATAACGATACGAATTAGGTATAAATTTCATGTCTATCAGGTCAGTATGAAAAAAATGAATTTGAGGTATTTTTTTAAACGTGAAAGATACGGGAAAATCTAATGATTTGGCCTCTAACTTCTATTCTAAAATGGAGATGCAAGGAAACAGCTGCCACCATTATGGGCTTGTTTACTGGTAGGCTCCGAACAGCTTTTCTAGACACGCTATACCCTTGTCAAGGGTGACTAAGCTGTTGACCCCATTATAGGCACTAAATGATAGAAATTAGGCGAGAAAAACCATTTATTGGCTCCATATTTATTTATTTATTTATTTCAAATGGCAGGCTCTACGATATTTATCATTAGCCCTTTAGTTGACTTCGGGCTTCACAGAGGGAAGGAACAACAATGTGACAGAAAGTCGAGGGGTGGTGAACAGAAGAGTGATTTACAGATGTAAAAAGACAGACATGAAGGCAGAGAAAAGGTAGGATGAGGACTGCGCCAGAAGTCAATCGCCAGTTAATAGACTTTTTTGCCGTTTGAGTATACGTTGCCCAGGGTGCACCACGTGGAGGTAAGTCTATCACGCACCCCAGATGGAGAAAATAAGTGTGTCTAGTACTATTGGATTATTCCACCGTCTTTAAACTTCAAGACACAAAACATTTGATATTTTTTGGAAATAGCTCAATTATCACTGGAGTTGAAGATTAAAAGAAAGGCTTTCATCGAGTGCTGTGATTTTCTAGTCGCAATTATTAAAACTGGTCAATATGAATTTGAGCGAGGCGAATTTCTCTCTACTGAAATCAAGGACTCCGAACTACTTGGATCATTTTCTGTTGATTTCTAGGCATCTTGGTCACTTTCTTTTAATTTTTCAGATTCGTCCGTTCAATAGTGGCAAATCACGTTCTCTTCGTGAATTGGACCCCGAGGATCTAGACCAGTTGGTTTCAATCACCGGTTTGGTTATTCGTCTCTCAACTCTTATTCCTGAAATGATGCGAGCAGAATTCCGTTGTGCTGTTTGTGGAGCCATGTCTAGTGTTGTCTGCGAGCGTGGACGTGTAGCTGAGCCCTCTGCTTGTGTTCGTTGTCATGCGGCTCATACTGCTCAGTTACAGCATAATCGGTGCCTATTCGTCGATAAGCAACTAATTAAACTTCAGGTCTGTTTTTTTTACGCTGCCCACCTTTGTCTACTAAAATTTTATAAGTAGTTCGTTACTTTCGCAGGAGGCGCCTGAGAGTATGCCTGCTAGTCAAACACCTCACACTGTCGCTCTCTACGCTCATGAGGATTTGGTCGATAAAGTCAAACCCGGCGACAGAGTTTGTGTGACAGGTATCTACCGCGCTGTGCCATTGAAGCTATCTAATAGGATGAGGACTCTCAAATCTGTCTACAAGACGTACATCGATGTCTTGCATTTTAGGTATGAGTGATATTATTATTTTAAGCCCTATTGTTTTGAAACTGGGAAATTTTTGAACTAATATTTCTGTGTCTACGTTTGAGAATCCAAATTATGATTCTCCAATTGCGTTTTTTGTTCATTAGTAAATCTGTAATGATTAATGTCTCGGTTTGCTCATTTTTTTGTTTACGAAATTTGGTTATGACGATTAATTACACATATAATTTTTTTAATTGGCCTAAATTAATACATTTTACGGATTAAATCAGCTTAGCTATTTCGTAATTCCCTATCTTCGTACTTTACATTTTAGAAAGGAACTCTCTGGACATCTTTTAGTCGAAGAGGAAGATTCTGTTCCAGAACAGGTTGATGAAAACGAGGATGTTTCACCAGGTATACTTCGTCAGCTTACTAAGGAACGAATTGAGCAGATTATTGCTCTTTCGAAAAAGCCCGATCTCTACGAACGTCTGGCTTCGGCTATCGCACCAAGCATTTACGAAAATGAGGATGTCAAGAAGGGGATTCTTCTTCAAGTTAGTTAAAGTGATCAAACTTTCGGTTATTAATACTGATAAATATTTTCATTAAATCATCGAATGCGTTCGAGGTTAAACCACTACTTATTAGATTTGTGGCTTTCACTGATTGATGAGCATCAAATGCATTACACAGTTTAGAACTTCGTGAAACATTTAACTGGTCAATTTCAGTTTTAGGTTTGGGGTTTGGTCATTCTAGCGCTTATAGTTAGCTGAATTGGGAAAGGTTTATCATGCCCTGCAATATGACACTAATCTTTATTTTTCTTTGCTTTTCTTAATCGCCATTGCTTTGGTCAATAAAATCACGCATTTTTACCGCATTTGTCTAGTTAGGGGAATTGATACTATTGATTTTTTTCAA